CTTTGCACGCTGGCTTCATTCTTCGAGCAATCGGCAGGGATGGGCGAGAGATAGCCAGGACGACAAGAATCCAGACTTCCAGGCTACTGCACGTTGCGTGTTGGATTTCTCAAGCCCAATCAGCCAAAGGTTTCTGGAGATGTTCGACGGTGCAGGAAATACACCAGCTCATGAAGCGGTTCGCTCTGGATATCCTGAATTGCTGAGGCTATTGCTTGAGTATCGTCCTGATTTGCTGTTCCGTGAAAATGCTGTGGGAAGTACGCCTCTTGAGCTCGCAACCGACAGCTGGGTGACACACGTAACTTCGGCCTGCCCTCCAGTCGAGAGAGGAGACCGAACTCGAGAGGGACCTCAGAATCCCGAGATGACTTGTGTCCTTGAGCGTTCGGCGGAGACCTTCGATCCGGACTACCGCGCGCCAGAACATCCGAAGAACGCCGTGTACAGGATTGCTCGTGAGTCAGCCGCTCGCCACCCAGCTAAGAGACGGTTGGTGAGTTTGAACGAGGCCACGGAGGTGACAAAGCGACTGGCGTTGCGAGGCGAGCAGGGGACGAGAGTTTCGAGTCAGGACCAAGATGAGTATGATGAGGTTACTTATTGGCACAAGAATGGAGGTCCAAAGCATTATGGCGCCTTCTGCTATCATAATTGAGAGGCGGAGTGGATGTGGGCATGGTGATTGGATGAGGAGGCCACAGTTCAAAATCATGTTGTTCTTCATACGGTCCTTGTCATCGAGCTCGCGACCCGAGCATAAGTAAATGGGCTTTTTTTATCTCTTCAGCTTCGAGGTGTCGATCTTGGCAAACATGATTACAACATATGTTTCTTCATCTCCTCGAAAGCAGATCTTGTCATTGTGCGTCATGTGCACTCCCTAAAAATCAGATCAAAGTTGTGTCACAGGATCATCTCGTACATTTAGCGCATCGTCAATTCCCTGAGCAGCACGCAGCTCCTTCCCATTGTACGTCCAGGGTGAGCCCGTCCTAGATCATCGCGGCGTCAGTCTGCCAGCTCGTTGTCGCAATCTAGTTTTATTCCATGCTCTGTATAGTCGAGCACAACGTCATATCAACCGCCGAGCATGATAAACTTGTGCAGTCTGATATTCTGATTCTAAATAGGCCTGTGACCTTCAGGCCTATAGATACGGATGCAGCTTTGTGTGTGCTTTCCACAGAGAGTCCTTTTTGAAGCAATGGCTGTATGTTCCCCGTCACAATGATTGTCTCTGCTGCGTGTGCTTCAAAACCAGATGCTCCCTGTTTGTGTGCGAAGCAGCGACGGGACCGTGGCGAATCGTCTTGGCGTCGTTGGCGGAGCACAGAGGAAGCGATAGATAAGTCATTGGGCGTTTACACGAAAGAGTCTGGGTGACTGCGATGGAAAAGCATGACACAGAAGAAGAGATGCGCGAAGGGCGAGGGTTGATGGGCCTTTGGCCTAAATAGTAAGTGGCTCCACGAGGATAGGTCAAATCTCAAACATCGAGATGTTCGAAGACCGGAGGAGAGGGCACTAAGGTATCCGGTCGGCGCGGGCTGGGCGAAGCTGGCACGAGCTTTATGAAACGGCTTCCGAGGTCGGGGCTTGTTAACTTTTTTTTGAGTGCTTGACCTGTTCTGTGGGGAAGGTCGTTGGGGAGACCTCAGGCAGCTCGGGGCGGCGCTAGGAGGAATTTCTGGGTTGCTTGGCGTTCTGTATCTTAAAGAGTAGGGGACTTGCTAGACCTTAGAGCTACGGTGTCACGTAGTGAAGCAGTCCATTTGGAACCGCTACTGACGACCTGAATGCCTCAAAGTGTTACGCCTCACTTGGCAGTAATAGGAGCCGAATCGGCACTCTCTGTTATTGATTTCAGTCAGCAGCTTGCTACGAGAATCTCGGTCTCAGGCCGAGTGATGTAACTATTCACATGGTGGCCTTGAAGCGACTTGAACACATTAAGAAAATTTGATAAGCATAATTATCCTGCAACAGCGAGCGTCTTCGCCGATACTATGACCCACGCTCTCTGTGGAGCAAGCCCTGTCCATTCTATCGAGCCGGCGCATCCACCATGCTCAAGCTCCGACCTGTGGGTAGCTACTCGAAAATTTCATACTTGAAGTGGCTGCTGTCGAATCCCAAGTTTGGCTCCAGAACCTCATCGAACACCGGGATTGGGTCATTTATCGCAGGCTCAGGCGTTCGGACAGCGGTGATGACATGGTTCGTGAGCACGCGCGAGCGGAAGCCTGCCTCGCAGTAGGTGAAATAATACTACATTCCATTAATGTCACTCCCACTGCAGCGCTGCGAGAGAATGGGTACTTACCACCCACACCCGTCGGAAAGCCTCAATCTCATGCTCGGTCGCTTCGGGGTGTCTGTCAATGTAATCCTTGCGGATGAGGCCCCAATTCTCAAGGAAGTTCTCTCGCCAAGTCACCAGGGTCTTGATATAGCTCGGCCCGATGCTTTGTAGAGAGTCAAGCTCCAACGTGCCATCCGACCCGCGATGCAACGCATTCAGGAACACATTCGTGGAACAAAGGTACCCGCCGGGGAAGATATATCGATCGGTGAAGGTGGTAATACCGGGCTTGTTATCATGCATCTGCCCATCCTTAGCATCAGCTATATGTTGCATAACAGCTTGAAGGGACATACTCACCATGTTGTTCGTTGTAATCGCTTGCATCACGAGAATACCTCCCTCGGGCTTCAGAAGCCGAGAGATCGTCCCGAAAAATCCATCCATGTATTTCTTCCCGACATGCTCCACCATCTCCACCGACACGATGCGGTCGTACCCGCCTGCCGGCATTGGCGCATTTCGGTAATCACACAGCAGGATTGTGATCCTATCATCTAGCCCGGCAGCCTTGATGCGCTTCTCAGCCAGCGCCTTCTGCTCCGAGGCAAGGGTGATGCCCGTCACGCGGCACCCGATCAGCCGGGCGGCCTCGATTGCCAGACTGCCCCAACCGCATCCGATGTCGAGAATGTGGTCCGTTGGGGCGATGCGGGCTTTCTGTAGGATGTTGTGTACGCTGCGGATCTGCGCAGTCTCGAGGGTCTCATGGGGATTGTTCGACCACCACCCGTTCGAGTAGTTCATGTCTGGGGAAAGGAGGGCGGCGAAGAGGGCATTGGAGGTATCATAGTGGAAGGTCACGTTTGAGCGGGAGTGTGCGAGAGTGTTCGTTGGGGTAAAGAGTAGGTGGCGGAGGCGGGGAAGGAAACTGAGGAGACGGTTACCGAAGCCTAGCCTGGTACGGTTGCGGAGGTAAAGCTGGGTCTACGTTAGACACTAGACTTGCTGCTGGGGGCATGGGAGACCTAGTTTGGGGTTCTCACCTGGAACACATGACGGAGGTCGTCACATTCAAGCTCTTGATAGATGTATGCTTCCGCGAAACCCTGGACAAAGATTAGATCGTCCTGAGATGGTGAAAGATGATCTTACCAGATCAAAAGCCTGGCAGATGCGAACCCAAGCGTTAGGATTTAAAATCACGATTTGTACACCTTTGGCCGCTGACTGGGGTCCGAAGACAACGGTTTCTGGCTCCTTGGCGTGGCTGTTGATCACTACTGTCAACCGCTCCTGATGCTCAATGCTGGCCAAAGCCTGCAGGACAAATGATTGAGAGTATGACTGGATCAAGCCTTCGAACATCGTGGTAAATAAGAGCGAGTAAATTTCTTCTGGTGTGGACTATTACGGTGAAAGCGACACTGTTGCCCATTGATCGGATTTAAGTAGTTGTCGCTGGTCAATTAAGACCACACAGTACAGTCTTGCAAGTCATTCAGTTTGCTTGTCTCCCCATTTTCGGGGGGTTCAAAGCCCAGAGCCCAAACAAATCGGGAGCTGTTTGATTGGTGCATATTGGGATGGATAGCGAAGCGAACGTTGATGCGCAAGCCACAAAACGGCATGACAGCTTCGCTGGCTCGTATAGGGAGTGATTGCAGGACAGCTCGGTTCAGCTTGCTGCATGTCTCAGTCTATGAGCTTTCCATTACTGGAGCCTTGTTAGCCACCTTTTGAAAACCTCTATGTGTGAAATCTGAGAATCTAAGCTTGGAAACTCTGGGGCATTCGGCCCACCCACTCCCCGCAAGGCAAATTGGGGACATGGCTGGCTGAAGTCTGCAGCTTGACGCACAAACGCAGTCAAGCTAGGTCGAGCTGTCTTGACTGCCTGAGTCGAGCATGTGATTGACAACAATCAGCTGTGGTCTAAGCGAAGGAAACCACAAATCATGGTTAATCGAAGCGAGGAGATGTGAGAGGGGTCCAATTCAGTTGAGCATAACACTATGGAGAGTTTGTGCATTGCGGGGTCCAGTTCCCGCAGGCAACAAAGCCGGACCGTGCCTTAGCGCTTTGGGCCATTGACTCGTGCTCGTATTTACTTTCCCGCAACGCATCATGTTCTCAATTCTGAAGTCTTCACCTACCTTTTGAAGTTCATCGCTGACTTGACCAATGCCTGAAGGACAGTCTGTATCTGGTCAGACTCTAAGACTCAAATCTGACCTGTACATTTTTGATTGCAGAATTCATGGCGTTGTCTCAAGCTCATTCGCAAGACTACTCCGCAGGATCTGGACAATCTGTTGCGTTGGGCCCATGAATCAAGAGAGTATTCTCTGACATTGAAAAGATCAGGTCCATGAACTCATCCCGACCGCAATTCCCCAGCACTCAGGTACTAAACGACCCTTTTCTAATACCTTGTGGCAGGTTTCCGTACTCTCATCCTACTCCATTCGGCATCAACGCCGTATCCGTATCTTGCAGGCAAGGTACGGTCGATCAAGAGCTTATTTTACATCAGGGTGGAACCCGATGATGTGCACTAGAGACATTCAAAACACGATGAGCAGCAGTTTGGAGAGCTACAATTCAAAGCGCGAAGCATACCTAGAAGCTACAGGATAGCTATGAAACGTCTTACCCTGCCTCCTCAAGGCATCTCAATCCAACAGCATTAAAAATGCTACCCCTGATTTTCTGGTCCGCGCTTTGCCTTACCATGCCTGCGGTGGCAGGCAGGTGCAAAAACACCCCTCTTGATGTGACATGGCCCTCTGAGACGGACTGGTCGTCTTTGGAATGCATCCATTGGCGGTCATCTGCTTCGCATAGTTCCCGTTGTTGCCTCCTGCTGGCCTAACAGCATCTTCGAGTCCCACATCTCATGCAATACAGTTCAGTCATAGTGGACCAACTCGCTCTGGCATGCAAGCCAGCCGGACTTTATCGACTACCCTATCTACGCGAACAAATCTTGTCTACCGCCAAACGTGACAGGTTATGTACACGATGGGGGCTGTACAACCGGGGGACTGCCGGCATACATTGTCAACGCCACGACGGAGATTCGGATTGCGACAGCAATGAGGTGGGCTGCTGACCGCAACATTCAACCAAGATACCACGGAGGATGTATACATCATTGGCAACGGTCAACAGTGGGGTAATGTGGGCGCTCGCTGAGGGCCGAGTGGTCACCACCGGCCAAGACCCCAGCGTCGGACTTGGTGACTACATTCAAGGAGGTGGACACGATCCATTGTCACGGGCTTACGGTCTCGCTGCTAGACACGTACTGCAGATGCGCGTCGTCACCACCCAGGGAGAGATACTCGTAGCCAACGATGCGCAACACCAGGATCTGTTCTGGGCGCTGCGCGGTGGCGGGCCGGGTCTGTATGGTGTGGTCACAGACTATGTGCTGCGACATCATCCGGCTCCGAGCAACGTGACTATGGGGAACCTTTTAATTGCCCCAGAAGTCGACCGGAACAATATCAGCGCGGAGAAATCTTGGGAAGCAGCCGTGTCGTACCTCCAGGCGCTTCCGGACCTGGTGGACGCCGGTCAAGCAGGGGCATGTATGATGTCAACTGGCGAGGCAGCGGTGCGGTTTACCTCCCTCTCTAAAGCTACCACCGGCGTGGTCATCTCGCAAGTCTTCTGGTCTTTCAACTCTACCTCATCCGCCATAGAAGCCTTGGTCCCTCCGGTCCTCACTCGAATTGGACGTGAATCGACACCAAACAGTGGCAGTAGTGCAGTGACTATCACTTTCAGCACTTCCAACCTTGCAAAGCACACCTCCTTTATCCCCGCCATCTCTGGTAGCAACGCAGCCGGCAGCCAGAGCGTTATATCGAGTCACCTTCTCGGCCGTCGCGAGTTCCTCGACACGGCGCGCACAGACATGACCAGCTATCTCAAAACCGCGCTTCAAGTGCAGAACGCGACCGCGGGAACCTTCGCGACTATCGGCTTACAAGGCGGGCCGGGAATGCAACAGACCCCTCCAGGGGACTGGGGTGCTCTGTTACCGGCATGGCGCACGGCTTACCTGCATTTCATCGCCAACGGGGCGACAGTCGACTCCGTCACTGCGGGCTCTCCGAAGCGGGCGCTGCAAGACGCCGCTCGATGGTACGAGGCCAAGGAGCACATGTGGCAGCTGTGGGCGCCGGAGGCGGGGGCGTATATGAACGAGGCTAATCCATTTGATCCTGAGTTCAAGCGTGACATCTCCGGGGCCAACTATGACCGGTTGGTGCAGGTCAAGGCCAAGTACGATCTGACTGAGAGCTTGTTTGTTCTGGCTGGTGTGGGAAGCGATCGGTGGGATTATGATCTAGATAGTGGTCGACTCTGCAGGGTGAATTAAACGAATCTGTATCTTCCGAGAATTGTCAACGGTATGGGTTGTTTCTCGTACAGTTCGTCTGCGGACTCAATACAAATGACCGCTATTCTAGTGTTGTGAGGAACATTCAGCTTGGGCATGCTGCTGACTTCGGGTAGTTTCTTCCCAATGCGGTTGATTATTAACTATGTAGGATTAGTCACAAGTACTGTACATCTAAGGCATCAATCATCAAACATTCAGTCTATACAGGCACGTTCCCCTCACCGGCTCCTTCCTTCTCTATCGATGAAGGCAGAACCTCGATTTCCTGCCGTTTCTCCAACATCGACTGCCTCATGAACGGACTCCGCGCGCGAATCTCCCTCCCCCAGATCAGCACCAAAACCGGCGCAAAGGCCAAGGCCAGCGAAATCAAGGCCAGCAGAGTGCTCGCCCACTGGAAGTGCAAGGTATTGTACATACTCTGCGCCGCGAGCGGCAGGAACGCGGAGAAGATATTCTCGCCCAGCGCCACAGTGGCGACCGCACTCCCGGCCCAGTAACTGTACGCATCGACCACATAGTCCGCAATGCCGCACACGACCGTCACACTCCCGGCCCCGACCATGGCCAGCCCTACCGCAGGCGCAACCCACGGGATATTCGGGTACGAGGTCCAGGCATACGTGAACATCCCGCCCGCAATGCCCAGGATGCCGCCCGCCACGGCCGTGTACAGACGCGCCTCGGGGATGGGGGCGCCGGGGATCTCCGTGTTGCGACGCGCGGAGTCAAAGTACAGTTTCGCGGAGTAAAAGCACGTGGTCCAGCCGAGACATTGGCCCACGACGATCGCGGCCTGGACGTAGCCGGCCTGCACAGCGTTCCAGCCGTATAATCCGCTGAAAACCTGCTCCACGGTCTGGGTGAAGAGGTAAAGCGTCCCAACGGTGAAGGCGGACCACAGTGTCGAGACGAAAATCACCGACTCGGTACACAGCAGCTGCAGGGGTCGCTTGATGCTGGCCAGGAGCATCTGGTGGCTGGGTTGTTTGTTTAATTCCTCGCGTGCGTACACATTTTGGCCCTTGGCGCGGAGGTGGCGCGCACGTTGGGCCAGGATGACGGCGCCCCGGGACTCTCGGAAAAGAAAATAATAAATCGGAAAGAGAGCGCCGAACCAGATCACCTGGAGGTAAGAGATCCAGCGCCACGACAGGTGTTGGAGGATCGCGGCGCCGATAACGGGACCGATGCTGCTTCCGGAGAGATATGCGAGGATATACAGGCTTACGGGCATGTTGCGCTCGCGTTCGTCTCTCCAGACATTACCGATGACCGAGGCGACAGTGTTGGCGAGGATCATCACACACCCGCCGCAGAAGAATCGGGTGATGATCAGGGTGGCGAAATTGTGGGCCAGCCCCTGGGGAATTATGAAGCAGAGGAAGATCAGGTACGTGCCTAGAAAGCAGCGCCGGATACCAAAGTCCTCCATGACGGGGAGAATAAGGAGGGAGAAGAATGCACCGCCAATAGTCCATGAGGTGACGGGCCAGTACGAGTGCGGGAAGCTTGCATCGCTGATCCCGAACTCCTCGTTTATTTGTTCATGGGCGACGGTGATAATGGTTCCATTCATGAGTGTTGTGAACGTCGTGAACAAGGGAATTGCCGTCACAATCCATTTTCGATGAAGGGGCCAGTTGAGGGGGTTCCCTGGGTCATCGGGTCCCTCCCATTCTAGAACGACGACGTCCGACTCTTGCGAGCTGGCTGGTCATGACGGTCAGTATTGGGCCATTAGTCGAAGTGGAGGCTTCACTTGCCGGACGGCGTTCTTTCAAGGTCAGCGGTGGCCATTGTCATCATACAATACACACGATGCAGTGACCCTCTTCTATCCGAGTGTGATTTTATATGCGAGGATGGTGAATTCTAGTGGCTTTTGCGTCCCGAGTCGGGCTCGTGTATTGCCGCAAACCGAATTGACAATTGTGAGGAGCGAGTGCAGAATAACACAAGGGAGGAAGTTCGGAGAATACATTGGGGTCGCCAGATTTATGTGAGAAGAACAATCGCCGTCGTCAACGCTTCGGCAGGCGCGCCTCCAAGCTGAGATGAAGATCTGAACTCGGACAAGGCTAGACTTTTGCCTTCATGGACTCTCTCGACGGAGACTCGGAGAGGAACTTGGGAAGCTCCACCCGCTGTTAGTTAGTTCTCAAGTCACCTGCCGCATTCGGGTTAGTCGATCGCTCTCAGCTTTTCCATCCCCCCGAATTTCTTGTTTTGGTCTGGAGATTTGATCCATTCAGACTACCTTACCATCACAACTGGTGGTACCTTTCGTGTTAGCTGATTTCTTCAGCTGAATCCGCGGAGCGGAAGCGAAATTTCTTGCAGCTCTTCAGTTGCGCATATGTATGTATGTCAATTTGCGATACATCCAATCGACCATACCGCCACTCTTTCTCCGAGCTTACTGACAAGCTGCGAGATCATGTCATTTGCATGTCATCCTGCTGAGAGAAACGGCTTGCAGCCTGGAATTCGCCGAACCTTGTCGTGGCTAAGCAGGGTTCACCATTCGATGATAAATGATATGTTAATATCTACTTCTCGTATCGGCTTGAGACCGAAGAGTCAGCTGGCGCAAGTCGGACTGGAACAGGCTAGCGGGAACCTTGAACGAGCTGTTCTTTTTTTTCTCGCTTCCGCCTCTCTTTCAATTCTCTCCATAGATTGATTTGACTGCCTCAATCCAGCAGGTCGGAAGCGGGTTAGCCGAGGTGGGTCTGGGACTTTTCCGCTCCTAGCGGACGTTTAGCGCGCTCTTCCCCCTCGTGCACTCCAACAATCCCATTGTGCGGGTGTGACAACCGCCTCTTCCCGGCCTCCGAATGGTACGCAACATACTCCTTTCTAATCAGTCTACATCATGGGTACTGCGTCTTCGATATTGATCAGCTTCTTTCTTGCTACTGCCACTAGAAACATTTCAAAAGTTGCTCCTGTTTCATGATGGGTCTTCATTCTCGCCGATTCTCGGGGCATCAGCTGTACCTGATCACGGGAACCGCGCAGCGACAACGCATCTGCATCCACCCCACTATGACCTGATCAATTGTGCGCATATCGCGGAAAATTCCAGCGCTCTCATCATGCACGGTGCTGAATCATTTGTAGCCGTCGGTGTCTCGACTTTCCCCACTACATGCAACCTGTTACTACACCGATAAAATGTGTTGGCAGCACGCTTGCTCGCAAATCTGGGCTCCTCGGTTTGTCAAGGCTCAATTCTCGAACCCCACAAACATCAATAAGGGACAAGTCAGGCACGGTTAACGGACCCCTGGAACCGGATCCAGATCTTACATTGCTTAACTCAATCTCGGTCCGACGATCGGGTGCGACCGTCAGCGACGAGGGTCTCGTCGATCTCGTGCATAACCAGTCTGCAGGCCTGCAGTCTAGGAGAATCCACTCAACCTATTTGACCTAATGGAAATAGTACCGGATCCTCTTGCAGGTTCATGCAGGCTATTCTAGACCACAGCAGGCACTACCCGCAAAAGCCGACCGGTGTACTATTCTCCGTACGAAGCACAACCGGTGTAAACACTGTCTTCTTGTATTATGGGAACCCAGTATACAACCGTCATCAATTATACCTTTTCAAGGTGCTAAATCACTGCCTTGCCACCCATCCACAGAACTCTAGCGTCAAATATCAATGCCAGACCATCCCCAGTCTCTGAAAGAAACTAAACAGAGATCCCTTCGGCACATATCCCGCATACCGACTTTGCCACCACGCGGCAAATGACCCTTCCACCGGGCCCAACTCGGCAAATCCAAGCACCTCAAGCACCCACAGCATGAGTGCCACCAACACTCCCAGGGCCAGGATGGTTGTGTACACGGGGTGTTCTTGTGCGAACTCGAAGGCTTCCTCGGAAGCGCGTCGCAGGGCCTCGGTGGCTGCTTGGGCCATTGAGGCGTGTTGCTCGATCGCGTTGACCAGGCCCGAGAGGAGGCCGCGGGCGAGGTAATCGGTCCAGCCAGTAGGGTGAATGAGCTCGCTGGTGGATTTCTGTATCTCAGGGACGGTCGGGGTGGTGAGGAGTATGGTGAGGAGCTCCGAGACTTGTGGGGACGAGGTAGGAGGTGTGCTGGTTTGAGCAGATGCACGTGCGCGCTTGGTAGGGACCAGGCAGTCGAGCATTGAGAAGGTGACGCCCATTCTGAAGCGCAGTTAGATATGATGAAGGTGAGGAAATTGAGATGGTATTCAATGAGCTTGGTGATAATAAGGAAAGGTTGTTGGCGGGGAGATTCGGGGGATGGTAGATGGAAGGTAGATGAAGATTGCTGCGATCAAGACAAGGAGAGGTACTTATACCGTGTGTCTGCCATTCACTTCCCCTGTCTCCCATCCACTGCGTTTGCATGGCAAACAAAGCTCCATCAACCCGCATTGCCGCAGCAGCAGGATTGGCTTACTTCCGGTGACACAGGAGTTACCGCAGCTATTGATTCGTTATCCCTCACTCATCAGCTTCTGAGGTAACTTGGTGACGGGCGCTTACAGCCTCCCAGCCCGGTCATACAAGGCCAACGGGCGGAGTTGCGGCAGGCGGCGCGTGCCAGATTGGGGCACAACATCCAATCCCGTTTTGAAATATCTCCATTGTGTGCTAAGGCAGACATATAGGCTCAATTAGACGAGTCTTCATTACCTAAAATTGATATCAAGACATTATCACCGTCCTCCTGCATACAAACCGATCCACGCTCTATCGACAATGGGCACCACCAACAAACTCCACGCGGTGCTTTTTTGTCTTCTTACGCGTAATTGGAGACCCTACACCATGTTACTAATCCAGCCACTGAACAAGAGACAACCACTTACTCAATCAAATTGCCGTCCGGGTCGCGACAATACACACTGTGGATCTTGCCTCGAGCTCCGGTGCGCTGAACGATCTCACCCCCCTCCAATAGCTCAATGCGAGCCTCCTCGAGAGCCTTCTTCACCTCACCGACTTTGGTATCAGTCAAGAAGCAGAGGTCCGCACTGCCCGACATCACATTCTGGGCCTTGGGCTCGAATTCCTTGCCGCGTTCATGAAGGTTGATTTTCTGCGAACCGAAGATGAGGGAATGACTAACACAAATCAGCACGAGGGCCCATCCAGGCTAGATGCAGTGTATTGGTAGACCAGACCGTTGGACGTCCGGACTGCTCGGAGAGGTGAAGATCTCATGTCGCATTCCGAGGTGGGAGGTGTAGAAGGCCACCGTCGTAGGGATGGACCGCACCGTCAGCACCAGGTGGTCGAGGGACTTGATGGCGAATCTAGCTGTCATTCTGGTGCTTGGTCATTCGATAGACAGGCTGTAAAGTCAGAGTCTGGGGGACGTGGTTATGTTGCTTCGGTAGTCATCTCCGAAGTGGAGAAACAAATGTCCGGCAGGACGGCAGGACGCCGAGCGGATTCGAAAATATACCTAGCTCTATGGCGTCATAAGATCCATTCGACTATCTATTGCGATGTCTGGTCCGTGAGCATGCCACGATGAGATGCTTGACTAGATGCTCTCAGTCCCTTTCTGGCACATTTCTAAAAAGTCTCATTCGGCCCACAAGACCGAGGTCAATACTCGAGTCGAAGCTTCCATTGGCTTTCGTTGCACTAATTCGAGCTCTTTATGCTGAGTCAGGAATTATGCACATAATTCCGTGTAACGAAGACCGCGGAACACCCGCAGCAACTTTCCACAGACAACATCACCATCAACCTAACATCTCCAATAGTATTATGCCGAATACCCTAATCTTTGCAAGGGCATCGCCTGAATTTCTTTATGTCTTTACCTGTTTATGTTGCGGGCTGATTGCAGCGCCCTTCTCGCCGTTGTTGGCGGTTAGTCCCTTTCCATCTCATCCACGCCGATAAGCTCCTATCCACAAGACGCCCTCGACACATCTCAGCCGAAATACTTTCCTGGTCTTCATCTTTCCCTGGCAAGTTTTTCGAAGTGAGTTAGTCATCAGAGCATGAACATTGTCAGGATTACCTCTTGCTCTCTCTCAATCTTCTATACATACTGACCCATTGGTCCTTCCTTTAGTTGTTCTGCCTTCAATCGATCCTAGTTGCTATCTTCGTTCTGTCGCTTCCCGAGTGCGTTCTCCTGTGGCTTGTTCCTCTGGTTGTTGGTTAAGTAGAAATCTCAACAACTACTACAGGTCTCGTCACTAAAGCCAACACTGTTCCTGCCTACAAATCGTCTCAGATGCAGTATCCTGATTGACATCTCGCTGATTTGACTGCAGAGACCATTGTTGGTCCTCCGACTGTCGATTTGATCACTGCAGGAGAGCCTACCACCCTGAATTTAGTATTTGGAACGAGAAAAGATAAAGAACGGCCCTTTTGGACGGGATCACAACAATTAAAGAACATTACTAGGCTCGGTTGGAGCAAGTTCCCCATTACACTGACACTGATGATGATACCTCTATCCTGTAGCTTGCTTTGCGTTGTATAACTCGCGGAAAGTGGGCATCTCTTCATTATGGACAGGCGATGCAGTCAGTTGACGTGGCTCGCCACTCACTTCCACTAGCATATTTTTGTCCAACTCCACACGACATGTTGGCAGATTACAAAACATCAAACTCATGATGATGTGATCGAGCTGTCTCCAGCTGAACAACAACTCTTAGTTGATCAAGGGGCAAGGTAAGTACTTCTTTTGACCAACTATCTGCATGGCGACCATTACATAAACCTTCCATTCAGCAATCACCTCAATTTTCCAAAGAACTGCACCAGTCTCCTGCCGGCCGATGGTCTCGGCCCTCTAGATGCTGTCTTCTCGGCTACCACATGGTACGCCTGCAAAGCATTAACAGAAAATGCATGGGCTCCGCCCCACAGGAACAGCCTAAAAACACGATAGGTCTCCTCGCCCCAGCCCGCTACAATCTTATCTTTGGCCTGATCCAATCTCCTCGCCCATTCTTCCATTGTCCACCCATAATCCTTGGTCTCCTGTACCACCTCCTCCACCGCGAACCCATGCATCAAAAGCTCACCCACCACATCCTGCACTGCCATATACGTATGCGTACCACCCCAAATATACCGCCTCGTGAACGGGCTGACAGCGTACTTCTCCACCGCTGCCGAACCATCTAAGTACATCCTCCCTCCCACCTTCAGCAGATTCCACGCCCTGCTTGCAAACCGCCGATAATCTGGCAAATGCTCGATAACCCCTAAGATCACGACCGCATCGAACTCCCTTTCAGACTCCCACACCCAAAAGTCCCCGACCAGCACGTGCCCAGGCAACTGCAACCTTTGCCGCATCTTCTCGACATACCGTGCCTGATATTCGAGCAATGTCAACGTGGTAACATGTACCCCTCTGGCGCCACAGTATTCCGTGACCCCACCCCAGCCCCCACCAATATCCAGCACGCGCATTCCGGCCTCCAATCGCAATGCGGCAAACATCCGCGCGAGTTTGCGCTCGGCCGCATCCTCTATGCTTATCCTCTGTCCGTCTGTGTCCTGTTGATCGAATATTCCATGCGTGTAGAACCGGTACCGCGTGTCGATGAATGTGAGGAACAAGTCGTCGCCGCGGCCGTAGTGCTCGTTGATTGACTGAGCGTTCATATGGGTGCCGGCACGGAAATAGTAGTCCCAGAGGAAGCGGAGACGTTGGCGCAGGGGGACTTTATCCTCAGAATCAGGACGGGATGCGAGAAGCGTCGCTAGGTCGCCGCTTATGCTGATGGTGCCTTTGACGTAGGCCTCCCCAACGGCAAGCTCGGTGATTGGGGTACGGAGGGAGGCCGGGGTGTGGAAGGTGACGCGCCAACTTGGCCGGTGGGGCGGGTTGACGGGTACGATGGAGCCGTCAGGGAGTTCGATTTCACCGGGAGTGTTTAGCGTGGTGAGGAGAGGGGCGAGACCCGTGCGGGGAAGCTTCGCAGGTAGTTGCCCTGGGTATTGACTGGGGTACGTCATGGTCGCTGCTATTTATCTCAGGTGAGTTTCTTAAGGCTTTGCCGGCAAGGCAGAACGCTAGGAGTTCACTTGCTACTTATATCATTTTCTTCAGATGCTAACAAGCCCGGAAGCAAGGGGTGCAAGTCTGACATGTTCCATCCGGGTCGAGGCTGAAGGAACACCTGCAGACGCCTATCTTGAGAATCCGACCAGTCAAAGAGAATTATCGGGACAAATCCCTGGTCCGTACCGTGTCTTAGCAAACAGATGCTCGAATCCAACAATTGTACAGCTCACATGCATTTGCGCGGCAATCAGCGCCCGGTTATTCGTCCGGAAGGGTCTTCCCATAGTGGTGTTGACCCACTTTCTGCAGCGCTTGTCAAAATGAATGCTAGGTCAATGTGTGGCGCGGCTGAAAATGGGAGCCGAAGGAGTGATCGGCCAGCCATTGACCACCTACAGAGCATGCTGAGGTCTTGCAAAGATACAATCACTTACCCAAATCGAAGTGTGGTTGTCTTCAGCACTCCGGCTTGTTTGCATTGTCTGTGACCGAATTGGGGGCCCGCAGCCACTGGGCTAGAAAACCGATGTGCTATTGCAATTCACCGTTTGTGGCGAGGATCCTAGGCGTACAAAGGTATATCCCAGCAGAGAGAAGCTCGATCAAATGGTCAATCTTAGCATCCTAGAGATACCTACAGCTTGGAGAGTCCTTCGTGTGTCGATAGAGTGCCACCAAGAAATATCTGCTTGTCCGCAGCAGACTCTTCAGACCATCCGATCGAAGGTGAAGAGACATGGATACTTGATGTAGTGTTACCACTTATCCACCGAGAAGCAACCGCTTTCGCAGCTTGGTTATTGTCCAGAGAAGCATCGTATATCAGCAGCGTGCCGCATACAATCACCTCGATATGTTGCATGAGTTCCCTTCCCCGGTAGAGGAGCTCTTCCGTCACGTTTCGGGAGACAATCGATTGCAAGGCATCCAAGCACTGCTCAATATTCTTGCATTCTTGCTCGAGTTTCGACTTGCAGACTGCAAGTAAAGGTCTCGCCCATGCACCCAGGACCGTCTCGATTACTCTTCCCTTCCCTAGACGCTTGTCGTTGATGACTCGAACCACATCTTCGGCCATCACATTGACAGTGCCTTCCCAGATAGCATTGACTGCGCAATCGCGGAAAATCCTGGCAATGTTCAGCAAACCCCCGTCTTCATTATTCTCGCAGTAGCCCACGCCACCCAGACACTCCATACAGGCGCGAAGTCCATGGACTGCATTCACGCTCACTGTACCCTTCATCACGGGAGTGACCAGGCGGAGTAGAGCTGCGGCTGTCGCCTTATCTCTGGGAATCAAGTTGGCAGCTTTGGTGTTTCGGGCCGTTGAATCCCAGTCCTGCTCAATGGCGCCCTGCAACGCCACAGCAAAGAAGGTGAGCTGCATTGCCGCCCAGTACTTCACCGTCTCACCCGCCATCCACCGCACGTGCTGTCGATTGTCTTGAAGGAGCTTCCCCTGTGTTGTCCGGATCTTACTGTAAGCACGACAGATTGCCAGCCCGCGGCCCCAATACCCAAGGGAGCCGCCGGCCGTGTAGAGCCGGGTGATGTTCAGAACCGTCGCAATCTCCTTAACCCCCTTCCCTTCCTCTCCAATCAGCCACCCTCGAACCCCCCTCAGCTCCAGCTCAGCCGTGGGAAGGGATTTAGTGCCCAGCTTATTCTTCAGCCGCTGGATCCGGACCCCATTCAACTCCGGGACCTTCCCTTCCTCACCAGCACAGCGGCGCATCGGCACATAGAACAGACTCAGTCCTTTCGCTGTCTGCGCCAGCAAAAGTGTCATCTCGGAGTCGGTCGCGCTGCTGAACCATTTGAACCCATCGATGCGCCACGGTCCCAGCGGCAGCCCATGCGCGTCGCGGTCCCTACCTTGCGCACTATCTTGGGCAAGCTCATCCCCCGTCAAGCGGCGGGCCACCGTCTCCGTCCCGCGCACATCACTCCCGCCGCGACGCTCCGTCATCCACTGGCCCGAGGTCCACGCCACGGAAGGGTCCCGCGCGACCAGCCGCCGATACGACTCCCGCAGCACCGCCCCCCGCCCCGGCTGGTCCCCATCCGGGTCGTCCCGATGCGCGTGGAGCAGTTTCGCCGCCCCGTCGCTCATCGACGCCGGACACCCCGTCATCGCCGCACTGCCCGTCCACACATGATTCAGCCCGAATTGGTGGACGCGTTGGTTCCACCCTTCATTATCTTCGTCGTACGCAACAGAGACAAGCCCCTCCTCCTGTCCAATTGCCTTCAGTCGGCGCCACCCTTCGACCACCCAGAGTGGGTCGACGCGGTTCTCTGCGCCGAAGGTCGTGAGCGGCCGGATGATGGGTGGGTTGACCTCTGCGTCCACGGCGAGGCGGAGGACGGTGGGGTCGAGGGCCAAGCGGGAGAGGTTGTGGATGGCGGTTATGGGCCCGGGGCAATCTGGGGGAAGGTGGAGATCTAGCACGCGGGCGAGCGCGGTGTCATCGGAGGGTGGGGGCTTGGTGGCCGATCGGAGATGGATGTTGTTGGTGGTGGTGATGCTGGCAGTGTAGGCGGGTGGGATGGTGGGAAGGGGTTGGAAGAATCCGTCCGTGGAGGAGGAGGGTTTCTTCCCGTTTTGGGGGTTCATCTTTTGTAAGTTTAGTATGTTCTTAATATTCGAAGGGGTGTGGCAGAATATTTTATCGCGAAGGTGCGTTGTATGTACAGGAATGGAGGAGTGGGTGGTCCGGGATGGTCGGTGGCATGAACTTACCTTCCTACATATGTCCGGCCAGATTCACAGTGCGGGGAAGATACCTCGGTCTAGGATGATCTCTCCTCACCACACCGTTCAGTCTGAGTTCCAGGGATTGTTATGGTACCTAGTACTAAGTAGGTACCTAGGTATACCGTAGGTAAACCCGAACTTGGAGTGCGTCAGGAGGACGTTGATTACGAGATCACGACCACCTTTGAGACTCAACATCCGAGGTTCACCGAACTTGGTACATGTGGCGGGGAAGGTTCAAAGTATCCGTTTAGGCCCCAACAGAATGTCAGTGTGGTTCGTACGCTCAACTGGTGTTGAGTTGGTCTAATTTCTATGAGGAACGGTCAACACTATCAATCTTAGTCATTTTGTATTCTTTCTCTGATCATGCACCGGAGGGTGAGGTCGGCTGATAGTCGCTTCGGAATTGCCCCGCACCCGCACCCGCACCCCGCAGATTCACAAGGAACTGACTCAAAGCCTACCGTGGACCACTTGTTGAGCTTCCAAGTTCCTCTCCTGTGTCCAGACATTCAACCGTGCTCATACACCCATAGGCTAAGGGATCGGAATGATAGACCTTCGTGTCGGTAATGTCGAACATTCGCCATACCTCCCACCCCAACAAACTCAAGCAGCCGCCGTCAGTCCCACTTGCACATACTTGAACTTAGAAAGCAAACACCTGGTACAGTAGAGTCGAGCTCGAAACTTCAAACCCATCAAAGTCAAACACTCTGCCCAGATCGCACCAGATCTCTTCATCAACTACTACAACCCCAGCCGGGAGTTCAAGGACCTCGAATTCCATCCCAAACGGGACCCAGCCTCCTGATTCTTCAACAACAGATGTTCTGTCTCGTCATCACCCGCCGCGCGATCGAACATCGCGCAGACCTCGCACGATGAGAGCATATGCAAGGTGTCCGTAAGGATCTCGACGCCTTGCTTACTGATTAATGTCCCCGAGCCTGCGAGGCGTAACATATGAATCGACCGACCAAGTGCTTCCTCGGATTCCGGCCCTCAGCCGGGGGGGGGGGGGGGGCAAAGAAGATATTGGATAGAGCGAGCATTGCGCAACGCGACCCCGGCGGCGACGCACCGGAAGCACACCTGCCCGGCGGAAATTGTCCTGTAGACGAGAGGTATAATGGCTCGATGCTGGGAGATGTTGGACGTCCCGTATGACCGAGATTATCATTTGATCTCGGGCAGTGATGAGCGGCTCGAGTTGCTCCTGGCGTCGGGTTGAGGGTATAGCTGGATGCTCACGCTGTCGTTTGCTGTCCAGGAATGGGCGGAGTAGTATTGATTAATGGTCGAACGGGGGCTGGTAAGCCAGTGTCTGCAGTCTGAATGCGCCAAGCCGTCAACGGTATGCTGTTCCTGGACTGGATGCAATCTGTTCTTCTAAAATGGTGACGAAAAAGAGAAAAGAAGTTTCTAGTGGAGATGTACGTGGTTTGCGGGGGGAGGGTCATTTGTGAGTTCATTTTCACTATCTCAGATGGGCTGACTCTTTTACATCCACGCGCAAGACCTTGGTACTGAGCTTTCGTTGAGCAAAGTCTCATGTCTTTCGTCTACTGTATCAACAGATTACACATCCGTCTCTTCATGAACAATCAGTTGAAATTTCAAAACAGATGAGGCGCATAGTTACCATGAAACGACAACTCAGATACTACAAACAAGATGACATCTTTATCTCCGCATCTCCCTGTCATCCAGAAATAATGAGTGACCTCACATCCCCTGTGCCCAGGCCGCTCGCATCTGCTCAATGACGGTATCCGTATACCCCCACAGCAAGGTCGAGTAGTCTGACGCCCACGACAACCCCGTGTAGAACGTGCGATGCCTTCCCTGCAAGCCATACAGTTCGCTGTAGAACCCATCCCGAATCTCCTCCGCACTCACGCTCATCGTCGTCGGCGTGTGGTCGCCCCAGGTCACGATATGCGGCTTCCGCGCCGTCGGAAACGTACCTTGCGCACGGAGCCGGGCGAACGTCTCCACCAACAACTGCCGCGCATCGGACGCGCTGAATGACTGGTTCCCCACTAGCTTGATGGTGCAGTATCCGGGGACGCGCTGGGCGTCGATCCGCCAGATGAACGGCTCGTATGGCACGGACAGAGGGTTGTCCGGGTCGATGTTGAGGAGGTTCACCCCTTCGACGAGACCGGTATTGTTTATGAGGGCGGCGTGGTACGTTTGGTGGCGCCACCGGGCGAAGAGGTCCGTTTCGTGCGGGTCGAGGTCGATGATGTTGCGCAGGTTTTCGAGCGTTACGGGGATGGTGAGGAGGAGTTGGCTCGCGCGGATGAGTCGCGCTGTGCCGTTGGCGTGACGGACAGTGACCTCGACCCCGTTGTGGGTGCGACGGATGGATCGGATGGTCGTCCTGAACAGGAGGTGGGTGGCCAATTCCTTCGCCGCCCGGGTGTAGATCTCGGCCATGCCGTTCACGGGGCGGATGTAGCCTTCTCCCAGGGCTTTGGCGTGCGGGATCCCGAGGTATTGGACGTGATAGATGGTCATCGTCTTCAGGATGTCGCCGCAACCGTGGTTGATGTTCGGGAGGATGGTGTCTTCGAGGTGGTATTTCTTCACGAAGTCGCCGAACGGGAGCAGCAGGTCCTCTGGGACTGGGTCGGGTAGGTCGTAGACCCCGTCGTTGAGGAAGGGGAACTGGGCGATGGCATCGAGGTATGGCTTCAGGACCTGCTGCTCGTCAAAGGGCTCGACCTGTACCCTGGCGCCGGTTCTCAGGTTGAGATACTGGTCCGTGGACGAGGCGGGCGTGCGCACTTCATACGTGACGTTGAGTCGGCGCAGATACGCTCGCGTCGCGCTGGTGTTGAAGAGACCCTCGACCCCGTAGTTGATGGGGGTGTGATCGGCTGGATAGAAGGTCTCTGCATGGCCACCCAGACTGGCGCTGCGCTCGACCACGACGAAGGACTTGCCCAGGTCCTTGAGGCGGGTGGCCGCGTAGGTGCCGGTGCTTCCTCCGCCCACAATCACCACATCGCGAGTGATCGTCTCGGAAGCCGCGTCGGCCCCGGCCCCAAGCATATACGCAAACAGGCCAAACAGGCTGAAAGCTATTGCCAGCATCGTTGCTGGCTGGAGATGCTACCTACAGCAATAGCGAAACGGTGGATCGCAACACGACCGAAGCGCTCACAGCAGCGCTTGATTCTACCCTTCAAGTCGCTCTTGCCCAATTCTAATGGCTATACGAAACTCTGCCATAACCATCCCCGTTTCCCGTCCCCTGATGCTGAGGACAGACTATCTCGACCCCATGCACAATCGGACATCGCCATCCCGCCCTCTCTCCATCTCGCCGACTTCCGATAATGACCCGTCCTTCGCGACATTCTTTGAGGAACGATTAGAATTTGCGACAGCGCATGTGAACGCGTGCCAATTGTCGCTCGCGGGCACTTTTCGAGTTCCGCCTTTGAAGATGATGCTGTTCAATACAGCCGGTGAGGGCAAAGGATCGAGGACAGGTTTGTGGGTATCGTACACGATACTCCAACTCCCTCAGGTGTCGTAACGCTCCAGACATGTGCTGATGTTCTAGAAGGCTGAACAGATGATGTCGCGATACTACCGCTACGTGGATGGCTCCAGTCGAGTCTGCTTTCGCCAACGCAACACGGATGTCACTTCACGGGGATGGTAATCGAGAACAGGACGCAGCATCGTTCGGTTACAGCGAAGACCCCGTGCGACCGAGATACAGACCGACAGAGCGCAACGTTGCACACGATCTAGAGACAGGTCATCCGCATATGAGGATGTCTGACAACCGGGGTTGCCGAAACCTTCATCCGCCCGCTCGGCGACGGCCCAATCAGGCACTTGTTGTGCGATAACGAGGCCATCAATCGGGTAATTGCTCAAGGTCGGCGGATTCGAGCCATGGACTGGCAAGGGACGAGAGGATGGTCTCACACGGTGGAAATTGAATGTAGCATGGCATCTGTTCTGGCCTGGGTACCGTTTGTATCGCCTGAGCAGGGCTTCCGTGGTGACTTTCCGCCGAGCTGGTGATGGCCCGTCGGCGGTATAGGGCCTGGCGAGAGCTGAATGCAACAGATTGTACGGGTGTAGCGTTGCACGGTGGGTTGGATGTACCGATACATGGTGTGTCTTGATTTGTACTATTCCCTGGTGGTTGGGGTGCGATCGAAGATGCGTCTCCTCCGGTGCAAGGATATGTTTTAAAAACAATATCATCTTTACATCAATCAAGGCAAGATGGCCGAGTTGGTCTAAGGCGTCAGGTTAAGGTTACCTTAGCATACAGCTTCACAGCTTCCTGATCATCGTTTGATGGCGTGGGTTCGAATCCCACTCTTGTCATAACTTTTTGCCCGTTACCGGGATTGCCAGCTGTGGCTTGAACTTCTGCTTGCTTCATGTATATGCGGTTGTCCTTTTCCCTTCTGTTTGTCTCTCTTCTTCTCTTTTCCTTCCTTTTGAAATGCTTTAGCACACGCAATTGAACAAGAATTCACCTTATCAAAGGTCGCCTCGGATTGTCAATACACAATCAACGCGTGCTACAGCTCAGTAAAGCATCAGGTAGAGGAAGGCAGCATCATTCGTAGATCAATAATATAGATAGAAGTCTCCTCTTACACTTTTACATTCTTCCAAATCATCCTAGCACTCGCCAATCAGACAAGAATTCATCTTAAGCAAGGTCACATCAGATTGCGAGCATACAAACAACCCCGCACTCCAGCTCAACAAGACAGCAACTGAGGAAAGGCAACAACATCCGGAGATCACTCGCCCGGAATCATCATCATTTGAAAGCATGCATAAACACTCAGCTCAACTCGTGATCTAGAAAGCCTCTCACCCCCCCATATACTTCCTAACAGACGTAGCCCAACAACCCGCCACCCATATATCCCACCCCACCCCCAACCATCCACCACACTACAAGCCCAACATCCACCCTCCAGTCTCAAACCCCCTCCCACCAAACACCCCATTCCCCTTCCCCCAATTCAAGAAAGATACAGATACCCACCACGCGCCCACCCCATCCACACCACCCCAACCCCCGCAGCAAAAACAGGCACCATCCCCTCCCGCACCCGCACCGTGCGCCACACCCCCACCTCGCCAACATACAACCCCAGCACCGCCCCGAAACTCAGCAGCGCCAGATCGTAAACGGGCGCGTCGTGAATGTGGTACGCCGCCGCGCCCCGGATGCCCGCCGCCAGCAGGTTGGCGAGGCCGTAGACGTGCGCGAGGAGCGGGGATCGGGCCGGCGCGTTCGGGCCCGAGAAGACTTGGATGGAGGGGAGCGGGCGGAGGTAGGTTGCTAGGCTGTGGGTTAGGGTTGCTAGGGTGCTCTGTTTGGGGTTATTATTTATCGGTGGGGGCTGGGGGAGAGGGAAGGGGGGGGATGGACATACGTAGAGGAGGAAGTAGGGGAGGAGGCCTTCTTCGTAGGGGGGGAGCCACGGGGTGTTCATTTTGGAGGGAGGGGGGGGTTGGATTGGTGAGGTTGCGGGTTGCGGGTAGTCAGTTGGGGGTTGGGGGTTGGGGGTTGAGGGTTGTGATGCGAATGGGAGTATGGCTTTTATAGGTACGGCAGGTAAATATTAGTGAAGGGTGAGCCTCGAGGTATCTACGTAGTGACGATTTCCCTGCTTGGTCTGTGGTACTTGCTCTTTTTGTGGTCTTCGTATGCTATATTTCTATTCTGGAAGAGCTACTGCCAGCGTCTGGCGTGTCCGCACTCGCATTATAGTGTCTCCATTAAGGCAAGTCATCAGACGACAAAATGATACATTTCTGACATCCCTCAGCAATCTATCCTGTTATGCCAAATTATTACCGTTCTCTACCTTGAAGCAATTTCACTCCCACGGTTACAGAGAACATGCGACCAGAAACGTCCTCAAGCCTTCAACATCGCCTCGATTACCCCATACCCCTCCATCACCACGTCCGCCCCCGTAACCACCAAGCCGGCCCGCCGCAACAGCTCCGTGGTATGCCTCTCCGTCCGCTCCATGGCCGCCATAAACACCATCATCACGATATCCATCCTCGCCAAGATCCGCGGCGCGTGCATCTCGGGCACGATGCCCCCGAACAGCCACAGCTTCGAATACCCGCTCCGCATCCCGGCGGCCACGTTCCGCAGGATCTCCACCACCTTCTCGTCCGGCCAGTTGTGGATGATGTGCTTGAGCAGGTACACCCGCGCCCCCTGCACCGGCTGCGGCGTGAAGAAGTCGTACGGCATGTACTCGATCGTTCGGTCCCGCAGGTCCGCGGGAATAGTCTCGATCACCGACCGCTGATCCTGGAGGACGATCTGCCCCGTCTGCAGCGGGGAGGGAAACTTGGTCTTCAGGACGCAGAGGTCGTGACCCATGCCGCCGCCGACATCGACCAGCAGGGGCGCATCGGAGTCGAGGGTGTCAACGCCGCCCGTGGTAATGCGCGTCCAGACGGGATAGCTGTCGCTCCAGTGCTGTTGGTTGCGCTTTGTGGTTTGGAAGGTGTTGAAGTCGCGGGCGATGGTGGGGTTGGCGGCGAGCCACTGGAAGAAGCTGCGGTCGGTGTGGAAGCAAGATTGGAAGATCCCCGAAGCGCTGTCGCTGTCAGAGGGGTTACGGTACTGCGTTGCTTGGAGGTGGTCGGGGAAGCTTTGCAGGCTGGGGACGATGTTGCCGCTGTTTGCGGGGCGGAAGTGTTAGCGAGCTCGTCTGATCGGAATCACCCCACGCAGTGAGGACATACAACATGCGGAAGCCGGCGGCGAATGCTGCGGTTCCTAGGATATTCGAAATGGCAGTTGCTTTGTAAGCCTCTGGGCTGGATTCGCGCACGACGCCAGTGCCGGTGACGACTCGCATAAGTCGAGCTGGGGGTGGTTAGCTTTGGTTTAATCAGAGCGTGCTGGAGAGCTGATCCCACCGAGGAGGCTTGATTCCGCTCCCGTCTGCTCTGCCAGCTGCTGAAGCGTCAAACACCCATGGCTCAGCTTCTCGAAAATGCCCAGGTCACTTGCGGTTCGAAGACAGGGGAAGATGGTAAACTGCAGTTGTTAGCTTGCGCTTCCGACATGAAGGAGTGAGCCAGACTGTTGTGAAGCTCTCCAAGGCTTTATCCCCGGGTCTCTGAAGAGCATCGATGACAGACTGGCATTGAAGAATAGCATCTTTGTGTGCTGTTGGGTCGTCGAGGTTGATTGTGTTGAGCTGGGCAAGGGAAGCTTTAGCCTCGTCGACTTGGGAATTGAAGTCGCTCATGCTGAATGGATGTGGTGCCTAAGGCAGAAACCGACCCTTGGCTTGCTGCGGTGCATAAGTTACCGTTTATCATGAAGGCCGGATTTGGTGGTGCAAATTAGCTTCCAAGTTCAACTTTCGTCGGGACCATTCGTTTTTGCCAAGCTGCACGCCACTCTTGAATGCCTGGATTGTCTGATCAAATCGGCCTCGTCGATTTTTCAAAACACCCCATATCGTCGCTTTTCCGGAGGACGTACGACGTGAGAGAGGCGGGGAAACCCCCCTGCGTTGCACTGTGAGCGGATCATTGTGCCACATTATTACCTCAACAACCTTGCTAACGGTTCACTACCTGTGGTTGCACACGCTGGTGGGCGCACTTGCGGGTCAAGACCTCACCACGCCTCACTCCGGCTCTGTATCAATTCCCAGTCATCTATCTTAACATGGCCCCGTCCAGCAGGCAAAGCTTACTCTAACCAGTCTGTCTCACTGTACTCCATCAGAGCCATGTATCGTAAGGCTACCGATCTACAACGCGCTATTTGCAGACAATTCGTCGATCGTTGAGGTGACCCTAGAAGGTAATTTCGAACTTCGTTCGAATCTTCTTGCCGTAGTAATAGAAAATGACCGGCACCGGTAACATGAGCAAGGCAATGAACCCGAGCAATGAGTTGCCCCATCCCAGCCCCAAAGTCGCGTACATGGAGGGACCTGCAAGTGGCAGGAACGCTCCGACGAATGATCGGACCAGGGTGTTTGCAGCCACGGCAGACGCTGCGTAGGGAC